TTGTAGATAGGGCAAAAGGATTAAGCGTTTTGAACGATGAAACTATCGTATAAAACCACGCGTGCTTGACCTATTACAACTTTTGTTTACTGGAAGGCTTGCTCTCCAGTTTTGTGTTGCTAAGCGGTATCCAAGCACGTGACCACTAGCTGCAAAGGGCCTATTGTGCTGAGAGACACAAAAATGATGCAAGTCGTCGCTAGATATATCATATATTTTTTAGATACAGAAAATTATGTAATATCAAAATAATAAATAATGGTAATCATAACCAAATCTCATGCGTTTTTTTTTTTTTTGTGTGAGGCATTATATTCTGGGGGGGCCAGGCCCCACCAAAAAATCTAGTGGGGGGGCCAGTGCCCCCCTGGCCCCCCCGCTTCCGCCGCCCCTGTGAAAATGAGGGAGGAAATTAAAAGGCTTATACGGAAAATCCTTAGACACACCCAACAATTTATTAATTTTTTTAAGCTGGTTATGCTACTCCTCCTCCCCCTCCCCCTCATCCTCCTCTTCCTCACCCACCTCTTCCCTCTCCTCCTCCTCCCCCTTACCCACCTCCTCCACCTCCTTGACCATCTCTCCCTCCCCTCCTACTCCTCCCTCCCCTCCTACTCCTCCTTCTCCTCCAACTCCTCCCYCTCCCCCTTCTCACCCACCACAGCTAACTACAAGTTTCTAGAGTTGTGATACATGTTGTGATAGGGAAGCATGGGYGGCTTAGCAGTGTGAGAGCTCACCTCTCATCAATGCGACCCAAGTTCAAGTCCTGCCGGGTTTGATGTTGTATATGAGTTTGTTGGTTCTGTCCTGTGTTTGGAGGGTTTTCCAGGTTCCCCGGTTTTCCTCCCTCCACAAAAATCAACTCCTTAATTCCAATTCGATCATTGAATGAGGGCCACAGGTTTGTTAGCCACTGGCTATTAAGTGCTACCCTCGTGAAAAAAGGATGTAATAAAAAACGTATGTGTGTTTTTTTTAGAATGAGTTCCAGGTAGCAGTGCGTGAAAATCTGTGGCCAAAAAGAGTTGAACTCCAAGATGGGGAATATGTCATACTGCATAATACAAATGTTATGGTGCACTTTCAATCTGGTGAGGTTAATGAATGGAGTGGTGAAGACATCAGGACTAGACCAAAAGTCGTAAGGAGAGGAGCCTTTGATATAGAAGATATGATTGAGGATGGTATGTCAAATATTAAATAGATAATTATGTAAATCGTAATTGAACAAGCTATCCTCCTTGCTAATGCTCAATTGAATGAATACTTCTTGCTTTGTTAGTGTAGCTATTAGCTTTTCAATTTTCTGATTCTTGCATTATCACTATTATGATACTTTGAACCTCTTATTTACTGTTTCCAGGGGGAAGGGGGAGGGAGTAAAAAGATGAAAATGAAATAAAATTGCTTGTTGTTTGTGTGGAGTTATGAAGCACTTGGGGATATTGGGATATTGCACTTGGGGAACTGTAAACTTGAAAAGAAAATTATTGAGAAGCAAGTACCTACATGTCATGCTTCTCCTAACGGTTCTCTCATGTTCTGCCAAACTCCATGCTTTATAACAGCATGCACTGATCATATTTTCTATTTCTTCAATAATCGTTTTCATTATGACTTTTAGGTGAGCCAGCACAGATAGACCATCTAGTATTTGTAATCCATGGGATTGGACCTATAGCTGACTTAAGGTTTAGAAATATTGTAGAATGTGGTAAGTCACAATTTACACAGATTTCTATGTCAAAGAGAGGGCAGAGAGGGAGAGGAGATAAAAGAAGGAAGAGATGTATGGAGGAAATATGAACAGAAAAAGGAAGGAAGAGTAAAGGAGAATAAAGAGATGAGAGGATGCAAAAGAAAAAGAGGAAGAGAAAGAAAATCATGGAGGGCGTAGGTGAGAAGTGGATAAACAGGAAAGATAAGAGAAAAAGGAAGAGAATTATAGAAAAGGAAAGAAAGGAAAAGAAAGGAAAGATTTAAAAAGTGACAAAAAAATTTAGATCTATATGCATGACTGTACAATGATGCGGGAAAGGATTAGGAAAGAAGGAGAGTGGAATGAATTAGAATAATAAGAGAGGTTGCACACCAACTTGAAAAAAATAATGGAAAATTGTGGCCTAGAGTGAGTCAGAATAAGATTAAGGAAGCAGCTTTCTTACAGTGTCAATCTAATTAACATCTAATTATTTTGTTAGTTGATGATCTTCGTATGGTCACTCTGTCCATGTTAAATGAACATCATGAAGAATTAGCCAAAGGGCGTCTGATTGGTCGCATAGAGTATCTTCCTGTTCAGTGGCATTCAAAGTTACACAATGATTCAACTGGAGTTGACCAGTAAGAAAATTGTTTTTAAAATTAATGAACATTATCATTATCTTAATTAATATGAGAACAGTCTTTGCTAATTCATGATAAGTAACTAGTAATGATGATGGTGATGATGATCATGATCATGATGGTGGTGATGATGATTACAATGATGGTGATGGCAGAGATGATTATGATGATGATGAATGTGATGAGGGTGATCATGGTAGTGGTGATGATGGTGGTGATGATGATGGTGATCATGATGGTGGTGATGATGATCACGATGATGGTGATGGTAGAGATAAATATGATGATTACGATGATGAATGTGATGGGGGTGAT